GCGACCAAACAGTTTGTTGTATATGCTGGTGCCTGCAACTGCAGCTCCGCCTACGACTGCTGTACCAGCTGCAATGGCTACACCACCAACTGCGTGTGCACCTTGACCAATAGCATGGCCTGCATCTTCTGCAGTGTGTTTGACAGTGTCAACAATGTGCAAATCGGTGCTAGATTTAGTAGGTGTATCAATGTGTTCGACTGATTCACGAACATCTTCATATGTGGCATTGGCATGTTCAGTAACAGCCTCATATGTGTGCTCAACCACATCTGGATGTGCAACATGTTCGACGTGTTCGACGTGTTCAACGTGCTCAATCTGTTCAATCTGATCAACGTGTTCGATGGCATCAGTGATTTCTTTGGTATGTGTTGCTTCGATATGTTCATCGGCAACCACTTCAGTCTTGACAGTCTCGGTCACATCTTCGACATTGACATGCTCGATTGGAGCGGTTTCGGATGCAACTGCGTACATTTCATGAACGGTTTGTTTGACTGGTGACACGATCTCATGCTCAACGTGTTCAGCGTGTTCAACGTGCTCGACATGAGTGTCTGCAGCTTCTTCGACAACTTCGACAACCTCGGTAGTCTCGGTAGTTTCAGTAGTTTCAGTGGTCTCGGTAGTCTCGGTAGTTCCAGTGTTCTTTTTGCGACCAAACAGTTTGTTATATATGCTGGTGCCTGCAACTGCAGCTCCGCCTACGACTGCTGTACCAGCTGCGATGGCTACACCACCAACTGCATGTGCACCTTGACCAATAGCATGGCCTGCATCTTCTGCAGTGTGTTTGACAGTGTCAACAATGTGCAAATCGGTGCTAGATTTAGTAGGTGTATCAATGTGTTCGACTGATTCACGAACATCTTCATATGTGGCATTGGCATGTTCAGTAACAGCCTCATATGTGTGCTCAACCACATCTGGATGTGCAACATGTTCGACATGTTCAACGTGCTCAATCTGATCAACGTGTTCAACGTGTTCGATGGCATCAGTGATTTCTTTGGTGTGTGTTGCTTCGATATGTTCATCGGCAACCACTTCAGTCTTGACAGTCTCGGTCACATCTTCGACATTGACATGCTCGATTGGAGCGGTTTCGGATGCAACTGCGTACATTTCATGAACGGTTTGTTTGACTGGCGACACGATCTCGTGTTCAACGTGTTCAGCGTGTTCAACGTGCTCGACATGAGTGTCTGCAGCTTCTTCGACATCTTCGACAACCTCGGTAGTCTCGGTAGTTTCAGTAGTTTCAGTGGTCTCGGTAGTCTCGGTAGTTCCAGTGTTCTTTTTGCGACCAAACAGTTTGTTATATATGCTGGTGCCTGCAACTGCAGCTCCGCCTACAGCTGCTGTATCAGCTGCCATGGCTACACCACCAACTGCATGTGCACCTTGACCAATAGCATGGCCTGCATCTTCTGCAGTGTTGTTGACAGTGTCAACAATGTGCAAATCGGTGCTAGATTTAGTAGGTGTATCAACGTGTTCGACTGATTCACGAACATCTTCATATGTGGCATTGGCGTGTTCAGTAACAGCCTCATATGTGTGCTCAACCACATCTGGATGTGCAACATGTTCGACGTGTTCGACGTGTTCAACGTGCTCAATCTGTTCAATCTGATCAACGTGTTCGATGGCATCAGTGATTTCTTTGGTGTGTGTTGCTTCGATATGTTCATCG